GTAGTCTGTTAATCAGGATTTCCAAAATAAAACCATCTTCCATCCCGCTATCAAAATTATTTTTATAAATCACAAGTCAAATGATGTCACTTTCCTAACTCCTAATTGCCTACAAAATAAAGACCATATTTCTCAGCATGCATTCAAAACTTTCTCTAGAGAAAGTCTAACATAAGTTTCCAAGTTCATTTATGTTTACCTACTATTCTATCCTATACTTGGCAATAATGAACATCTTGCCATTTCCTCAACAGTGACCCTTTGTTTCCCATCATTGTGCCCATATACACTCTTACTTACCCAATCATCTCTTTTATAAATCCTTTTCCAATAATGACAAGCAGAAGTTATTATAACCTCTTTTATGCTTCCAGAGCTCTTGGCACAGTCTTTTTTTTTTTTTAATTTCTTTGGAATATTTTTTAATTTGTAGAAAGTTGCAGAGATGTTACAGAGTTCCTGTACACCCAGTCTCCCCTAAGGTTAGCATGTCATAGTACCATGGTACATTTGTTAAAACTAAGGGGAAAAAAGCATTGTTCATTAATATTAACCAAACTCCAAACTCCAGACTTTATTTAGATCTCACCGATTCTTCCACTAATATCCTTTTTCTGTTCCAGGATCCAATCTAGCATACAATATTGCATTTAGTAATCCTATTGCTGATATTCAATGTATTAAGTGTATTATTTTGTATAGATAGGCCAGCTTTTTGGTTTCAGGCAGGAGGTTCTTGTTTCTCCATCCTGACTGGAGGCAAAGTCTAAGATTAGTTTTAAATAAAGCAAAAGCAAAACATTTTCTTTCTTAATATTTATAAAATATTTATAATCATATTTTAATAGCAGTATTTGTCCAAAAATAAAAGAAAAACCATTTAAAGTTAAATAGGCCCCTTTCTGGCAAATTCCATCAATATAGCTTAATCTTAATTTAAATAAAATAATTACTTAGAGGTAAACTAGAAACTTGAGAATGCCTTTGCTGTTAACAGATTCCACATATATCTGCAATTCCTCACCTTACTGTTTTCATTCTCTCTTTACCCAAATCTTCCTCACTATCAAAAATGGATAAAGAGTTGCAAGTAAGAGAAAATTTATTAAGAAATTATTTCTATTAAGTGATATGTGAAAATAATGTTGATCCATGTTTATTCACATTAATCTATTACCTTGGTTTTGCAAGAATCATTAACCATTCCTCATGGCCTTAGCAAGCATTGCAAGGCAGAAAGAAATATGACAAAGCAAAGGTAAAAAAAAAAAAAATTAAACCAAGTGTTGACTTAAAAAAAACTATTAATGTAATTCATCACATTCAGAGATTAAACCAGAAAACTTTGTGCTCTTCTCATAAAAATATGATGAAATCCACACTCGTTCATGATAAAAACTCATATCACAGAGCAGAAGGAAACTTCTTGACCTGATAAAAGGCACCTACCAAAACACTACAACAAGTATTCTAATGGTAAAATGTTAGAAAGTTTTCCTTAAAAATTATGAATCATGCATTTTATTTCCACTTCTACTCAATACTGTATTGTAGGTCCTAGCCAATACAGTAAGGGGGGAGAACTCTATAAGCATTGAAATGAAAGAAGCAAAACTTAATATGTGCAGTTGTAATGATTACTTGCAAAGAAAAAACCCAAAAATATCCACATTAAAATGATCAAAATTACCAAAAGAGCCAGATAAAAAATCAATATCTAAAAATCAATTTCATTTTTATATCCTAGCAAGAAAGAATTAAGAGATTGAATATTAAAAGTTGCAATGTACAAAAGAAAAAACAAATTTGCTAGAATAAATATAATAAAAATATGTAACACCTTAATGGATAAAAATTATAAAACTTTTTGAAGGCTATTTAAGAAGACCCAAACCAATAGACATATCTACTCTATTGACCAAGAAGACTTAGAATCATCAGGATGTCAGTTTTCTTCAAATTATTGATCTATAGATTCAATATAATTATAATCACAATCCAAAATTTTTCATGGAACATGACAAGCTGATTTTCAAAATGTGTATGGAAAAACAGAGGACCAAACCAAGAAGATATTTTTAAAAAGAAATAGGTAAGGGAGAGGAGAAGCAGGAGCTTTTCCTATAGGGTGTTAAGATTTAATATAAAGCTACAGTCACAAAGATGAGTTGTTTAGGCACAAGGCTAAACAAGTAAATCAATGGAACATAATAGAGAGCCAAGAAAGAAACCACACTATATTAGTGAGGGTAATCCTTGATTATACTCTAATATCTAGTTCACCCTGAAGCAGTTTTACTTGCCACAACCAAGTTTTATTTCTTGTTTAGCTCACCAGTTGATGAAGGTCACAGGGCTCTCCCTGGTGCTCTCCTGCAACTTGGAGATCTGGGCTTCTTCCATTTTCCCACTCCATATCTCGGAGTTCTTTGCTTCTAGCCATAGGTTGAGAGGGAACATAAGCATGTGAAGACTCCCACTTGCTCTTAATTGTGGCATATTATTCACACACACATTCCCATTGTTGAGAACTCAGGCACCTGGTCTCAATGCAACCATTTAAAAGGCTGAGAAATGCGGGGTTTTTGTGTGCCCAAGAAGAGGAAATTGTGTGATGAACCAGCATTGTCTCTGCAAAAAAAGTATGAGACCTTATATATAGCAGAATTGACATAGCTGATCCCTGAGGAAAGTATTAATGATTAAAAAGTAATGCTAAGAAGAACTCACTCTCTTCTTTACACTGCACTCAAACAAATAATTTCCAAATGGATTAAAAGCTTAAATGAACCTATAACCAAGATTACCCAGCAAAGCTATCATTTAGAATTGAAGGACAGATAAAAAGCTTCCCAGACAAGAAAAAGCTAAAGGAGTTTATCGCCACCAAGCTAGTATCAAAAATATGAATAATAAAATGGCAATAACTACATATCTAGCAACAATTACTTTAGATGTCAATGGATTAAATGCTCCAGTCAAAAGAAAGTGTGGCCGGATGGATAAGAAAACAAGACTTTCACATATACTGCCTACAAGAGACTCGCTTCAGATCAAAAGACACAAATAACCTGAAAGTAAAGGGATGAAAAAAGATGTTTCATGAAAATGGAAACAAACGAATAAAAAAGCAGATATAGCACTACTTACACCAGACGAAGTAGACTTTAAAACAAAGGCTATAACAAGAGACACAGAAGGACTGAGTTATCCCATTTCTGGGTATTTATCCGAAGAAACCCAAAACACTACTTTGAAGGGACATGTGAATTCATATGTTCATTGAAGCATTATTTACAATGGTCAAGATACAGTGGCTACCTGGGTGTCCATCGATAGATGAATGGATAGAGAAGAGGTGGTACATATATACAATGAAACATTACTTACCCATAAAAAAAATTAAAAGAATGAAATCTTGCCATCTGCAACAACATGGATAGACCTAAAGGGTATTGTGCTGAGTGGAGTAAGTCAGGCAGAGAAAGACAAATACCATATGATTTCACTTACATGTGGAATCTAAAGAACAAAACAAACAAAAAAAACAAAACAGAAATACTCGTAGATACAGAGAATGTTTTGGAGGTTGCCAGATGGGAGCAGAGTTGGGAGGGTGGGTAAAAAAGGAAAAGGAATTAAGAAGTACAAATTGGTAGTTACAAATAGTCATGGGAATATAAAGGATAGTGTAAGGAATATAGTCAATAATATTGTAATAACTATGTATGGTGTCAGATGGGTACTAGATTTATCAGAGTACTAGATTTATAAGTTATATAAATGTCTAATCACTATATTGTGTACCTGAATTAATATAATATTGTTTGTCAACTATCATTGAGGAAAATAAAAATATAAAAATTAAAAAGAAAAGAAGCATATCTGGAAAGAGTTCTTAACACACACACAAAAGCACAAACCCAGTAGGAGATGATGAATAAAAATGCATCATTAAGAAAGAGAAAAGACAAACAAACTGGTGGAAGATATTTTCAGTACACATAACTGAAAAGAGTTAGTATCTAGCCTACAGAAAGAAATTATACTGGCCAACTGTCACAAAAAAAAAAAATCTAAGGGAAATAACTACACTTCATCAGTAAATCAAAAAATTAAAATTAAAATCCAAAGAAGATTCCATTCCACAACCATTAGATTGAAAAAGTTAAAGTCAGATAGCATCAGTGTTAGCAAAGAGGAGGAGCTATAGGAAATCTTTTCCACTATGGGTGAGAATATAAATTGATACAAAAAGTTTGATAAATAATTTGACACTATCTCATGAAATTAAAATAGTGTATACTCTCAAGAAATAGCAATTCCACTTGCAGACAAATTCTTGCACACGTGAACTATGACAAAATACTTCAACACAAATGTAATCTTGAAAATACGATGTTAAGTGGAAAGATACTGAAGAAAGTATATAGTATACCATTTTGTAGGGTTAGATAAAGCAAATCTAAAGATATTTTAAGAATCCGCATGTACAAGAATCCATACATGTGTTATAGTCCATACTATAAAGAAAAGCAAGGGAATGAGCAAAGTCGAAATTTAGGGTAGTGGATACTGTTGGGGGTGTGGCAGAAGGGTATGGTGGGGAGCTTCGAGGACACCAATAAAGTTATATTTGTTTAGTGGGGTAATGGGTTCACAGGCATTCCTTTTATTATGTAATAAACTAATTTTAGCATAAATATTCCCTTATGCATCAATATTTAATTTTTAAAATACACACACACGGAGAAAAAAAGTAAGCACTCTGCAAGCTGACTCTCATTCAAGAGAGCTGTTTATTTTGCAATTGCTTAGGAGCAGAAAGAGTGAGTGGATGTTCTCTTTTTAACACTACACTTAGTCTTTAGCAAAATCCTCTTTCCTTTTAACATTTCGAGTTTGTTTCCTTTTTATAATTATCTCAAAGTCCCTCCCAGTATAATTTATCTCATTTTTACTTTTTATTTAACATCAAAATTCTGTTTTATTTTTTCCAGTGGCCAGGTTATATCTGCTCTTCCTAGAACCTCTAGGCAAGCTCAAATTCTGCAGAATCTCACTACGACATATGAGGTAATTTTTCCCTCATAGATGTTTATATTGGTTTCATTCTGTAGGAGTATAGTGTGCCATATTCTTTCCTATATGTTGTCTAACTTATCTATAGTTGGTATAAACCCCTCTTCTAATAGCCTTCTCCCCCTTCTCATACTTACATGATTTTACTTGTTCCCAAAATCGAAACTTCTTCATTTGTATTATTGTCTTTTTAGCAAATTGCATAATAGCATCTTGAGATTAAAAGTGTGTACTTACAAAGATGCTACAGTAACTGAGGTCCAAAAGGACTTCGGTTATAAAACAATGGTTTTTAATCAAGAAGTAAATATCAAAAATAAAAGTGAAAATTTATTAAAATTTTCATGCCTGGGACCCATCTCCCCAGAATGCCTAAGATGTAGATGTTAGACCATGATGCAGCTCTGACAACTGTGCAGAAAGGAAAATTATGCATTGAGAACCTCTAGACTACAGGGTGGTTCCAACAAAAGTTTGGCTGGACCAATGGTGAGCCCTTAAGCCAAAGTCACCTGTAAG